GCCGTGTGTGTGTGTGTGTGTGTGTGTGTGTGTGTGTGTGTGTGCCTAGTGAAGATGATGGAAGGGGGAGGGCAATGCTGCTGCAGTCAGGTGAGCTAAGAGGTAACAAAGTCAGCAGCCACGCCTCCAGGGCATCAAGTCCTCAGGGAGGATTGCTTTCCTCTGGCTGTCACTCTTCCTACCTCCAGGTGCTTCGCAAATCCTCCTTAGCCCCTGTGAGATCTCAAGCAGAGCCCTGGAAACACTTCTCTCTTGTCTCCATCACGGCAGCCATTGCACCAGCCACCACACTAACCAGGCTTTAGGTGTGTCCCGGCTAACCCATGATAGCTCCCTGGTGGGTGCATGGCTAATTCTAGAGCCATTTCTATGGTGGCCCCAGCCTCCCAGTTCCCACAGATTAGAATGGGAGCCAGCTGCTTTGAGTGTAAGTAACACGCAACAAAGAATGAGGTGACAGAAGGAATATGGGGATTTATTTGTCCTGTGCCAGCCCGTTATGAAACAAGGCCTTTATTTCAGCAAGGAGCCTTCATCCTACAATTGTTTAAGAACTCCGCTCACCTTCAACACACAGCCTCCAAGGCTGCTCAGCTCCCTGCTAACTAGCAGGAAGAAGAGAAAGCCTGGCAGTACACACCCACTGTTCCAGCTCACACTCAGCCACTAAGCCTCCCCTTCATTCGCTAGACACCTCACAGCATCCTTGGTCTGATGCTCGACTTAGATGAAGCATCGTTGGTCAAAATCTGATCCAGCCTTTCGTAGGCAGCACCGTTTCCTACCCCCCCCCCCAAAAAAAAAAACTTTTCTAAACCAGGCAGTGGTGGCGCACACCTCTAATCCCAGCACTCAGGAAGCAGAGGCAGAGGTGGGTCTTTGAGAGTTCGAAGCCAGCCTTGCAATCAGAGTGAATTCCAGGACAGCCAGAAATCCTATCTTGAAAAACTGAAAGGCGGGGGCAAAGGGGGGGAGGAAGAAAAAAGAGAGAGAGATACAGATTTGGTCCACAGGTTTATAAGATTTTACTGAGATGACAATGATATTGAAATTATGAGGATATCAGTATCAGATGAGAAAGACAATAATAACCTAAGGACGGTAAATAGAAGAAAAGCTGCCAAGGAAGAGGCAAGCGTGCATCCTGTTTAAGGACAAAGGGAAAAGGAAGGGAAACCTTGGCTGTGTGGAGAAGTCTTGATGTAGGGAAATGGGGAAGAGGGCTGAGGGAGGCAAGCATTTCCTCTGCTCATGGTCGAGGAGGACTGGTCATTTGTTAGGAGTGGTCGTGTGTGGCTTTAAAAAAAAAAAGTTTTTTGTTGTTTTTAGAGATAGGGTTTCTCTGTGTAGCCCTTGCTGTCCTGGAACTTACCCTGTATGCAAGGCTGGCCTCGAACTCACAGAGGTCTCAGGGAGAGTGCTGGGATTAAAGGGGTTCTCCACCACCACCACTCCTCTGGCTCTTGTCTTTTTTTTTTTTAATTTCACTTATTTATTTATGTGCATATGTGTGTACTTGTTCCTTTTTGTGCCACAGAGCACATGCGACAGGACAGCTTGCAGGAAGGAGTCACTTCTCCTTCTACCATGTGGATATGGAGATCGGAGATTGAACTCAGGTCATAGGCCTTGAGCTCCTGAGTCATCTCGCTGCGCACACCTGTGCCTTTTCCCATGACAACTAGTTAGTAAGACTGGATACAGTTGTATCAGATCATGTCATTGCTAATGATGGCACCTCAGTCCTTAAGAATTAACTGCATTATGTTTTATATGAAAGAAGAGTCAGAGGTGTGTATCTGTGCGTGTGTGTGTGTGTCTGTGTATGTGTGTGTATGTATTCAACTAAGTGCTTATATTGCATGAATTTATTTCTTAGGAATCAAAGACACAGCTTGTTCCTTTTGTGGTGAGTGGGGTATATAGAAGTGATTATGACACACCCATAATGTCAGCACTAGCAAGGATGTAGCAGGAAGGTCAGCAGTTCAAGAGCCTGCCGAGAAGTGGAGGAAGGAAGGATTTGCATCGTATTAGGCACATGAGTCGTCTAGAGGTGACTTAATGGATACAGGAGGATGTACATTGCTTACTGGTAAACATTAAGCCACTGGGTAGTTGAGACGTGTATGGCAGCAGGCTTTGTAGTTGCAGGGTTTGAGGGACAATCCCTTCAGACACAGAAGGTTCTGTATACATGTATAGGACAGTCAAGGTGATAGTTCTCCCAGAAATCATTAATATTAATACTAATGCTGCATTTTATTATTGGTATTTTCATCTGATATGAAAACTGTTTAGGTCTTTGTCTTCATGTGTCCTTAGTTACAATTTTATGAGCTGTTTTCTTTTTTTTTTAACCTTGACTTCTAGTAGTTCCTCTGGGAAAAACCTTAAACAGAAGCTTTTCTGAGTCATCATTTCGTGTAAGATCCTAACCAGATCCATTATCGTTAAAGTAAGACAGCACATTTCCAAGGTTAACCTTCTGTGTGGCTGCTCCCATGAACGGCACATGCTCATCAAATGACTTTTAATCATTGCCTAAGTTCGGTTCCATTTACGGTCCATATTTCTAATAAGAATCAAAACCCCTTACATTCAAGAGAGCAGGTTGTAAAGGAATTTATTTTCAAAAGATAAATTCAAGCCATGGGATTTTGTTTATATAAAATTATAGCCAGTGCCAGGCATGAGGACTCATGTAATCTCAGAAAGCCCAGGCAGGAGGATTGTCACAATGTGAAGCCAAGCTGGGCTACAGAGTGAGATCTAAAATTAGTAATACAGAAATAATAATAAAGAGGAGGAGGAGGAGGAGGAGGAGGAGGAGGAGGAGGAGGAGGAGGAGGAGGAGGAGGAAGAGGAGGAGAACACTATTCAGTACCACAGGGGAAAATGTCTGGGATACACTATTGATGACATAGTTTGCCATTGGATGATGGTTTAGTTTAACTACAAAGAAATATCTTTCTTCCTCTTTAAAAAAAAAAAAAGTGACATAGAGCTGGAGAGGTGACCCTGTGGATAAGAGCACTTACTTCTTTTCAGAGAACCTGGTTCAGTGGTAACACCCTCGAGGCGGCTTACAACCAGCTCCCTGTACCTCCAGCTCCAGAGACGCTGCCGTGCTTGTCGCGTGCACATCCGAGCAAGGACTCCTACCGCTGTCTGCATCCCTAGCCTTGAGTCACAGTTTGATGTCTCTGAAATGGCCAAACAAGCATCTGTCTAAAAACTAAATAGCTAAGGAGGACATATTAGACCGGCCACGCCAGAGTGTGACCCATTACTGTGCGAGCTGGCTTTAAAAATGTTTTTTACATAGTACCCTATTCTAACTGCGTCTCCAAACACTGATGTGAATGAGAAGGAAGGAAATGGTGGTTTTCCTGAGCTCCTCCAGTTTTCCTTCCGTGTATGGTGCAGCTGGCTGGCTAGCCTATCCCAGAATCATGGCCTGGACCCACACTCCCGCAAAGTAACCTTGAGAGAGCCCTCTTACCGCCACTATTCCCTTGCCTAAGGCAGAAGCAATTTCATTTCCCAACTCCTAGTGTTGTTCCAGGGGTTAAAGACTTTATTGCTGTATTATGTACTTAGCAGTCCCAAGTCCAGTGGTTGGTGTGGGGTTGTCTGTTTGCGTATGTTGTTGAGCAGGGAAATAAAACAAAAAAGAAAAAAACTGGACCTATGTGGAAGAAAGTGTGTTTGCTGGCACTGAAGAAAAGGTGTAAATCTGAGAGAGGTAGTGAGTTTAAGGGTACTGATCTAGCATCTGCCTACGAAAGGACGCAGTACCAAAACACAGCTGAGAGTGAGGGACTAGCTGGTACTAGCCCTAAAGACATCCATCGTCACACACAGATAAATGCAAAACAAAAAATTGTAAATGTAACCTTTTATTTTTTTGTTTTAATTTCTTCTATTTCTGTAGAAGGAAGTTACTGTCCTGCCCAGTCTGGCAGCAATTGAGTCCTAAAGAAACACACAGTGTTTTTATTTATATATATTATATATAGCTATATAATATATATAATTATAATAGTGATTATAAATTGTTTTACCTCTTAGCTCAGACTTAATGTTAGCTAGCTCTTACAACTTAAATAATTCTTACCTATGTTTAGCCATGCAACCTGGTACCTTTTCTCATTATTATCATCTTGCTTCCTCTGCATCTGGCTGGTGACCACATCTCTGCCTTTCCTCTTCCCAGAATTCTCCTAGCCTGATTGCCCCACCCATACTTCCTGCCTGGCTGCTGGTCAATCAGCATTTTATTAAACTAATGTGAGTGCCAAATCTTTAGAGTGTATAAGAGCATTATCCCACAGCAGTTTCTTTAAGTTTATTTTTATTTTATGTGCATTGCTGTTTTGCCTTCATGTGTGTCTATGTAAGGGTGTCAGATCCCCTGGATCTGGAGTTAGAGACAGTTGTAAGCTGCCACATGGGTACTGAGAATTGACCCCAGGCCATCTAGAAGAATAGCCAGTGCTCTTAACCGCTGAGCCATCTCTCCAGCCCCAATAAATGCAAAATTCTAAAGACCAATGAGCATTAGATGTTGTCATATTTTGTGCTGTTTTATTTGTGATTGCTGTTTTATTACGTGATTATTTGATTGTGGTTACTGAGTTACATTCCATCAGACCTCAGAGATTTGTGGTTGACTCTTGTAGTCATCCCGTAAACCCATCCATAAAACCCCTTGAGAACTGGACCATCGTCTTCTGCATTGGACCCAGTGTGGTGTATATCCCAAGATGCACGTGTATTTATGTAAAATTGCTCAGAGCAAATAATTTCTTTTTTAAAAACATGGTCTCACTCTGGAACCCAGGCTGATATGCAGTTCACTGTGTAGCACAGGCTAGCCTTAAACTTGTGGAGGATCTTCCTGTCTGAGTGTGCCTGATGCTGAGATTCAGGTGTGCGGCCCCAGGCCCTGCAGTCGTCATTGCCAGTTGTCTCATGAGTGCTTTTATGGCTTCCAGGTCCGCTGGATGATGTACTGGATCGTCTTCGCCCTCTATACTGTGATCGAAACAGTGGCTGATCAGACCCTTGCATGGTAAGTTCCACCGCTCCGAGGGACTCGGGCATCCTCAGGTATCCAGAGTTCTTACCCGGCTCCTGCTTTTCACCATGAGAAATACATCAAGCAACTTAATTACCCGGCATCTTTTTCTTCCTCTTGTCTTCCCCGTGACAACAGCGCTTTCTGTGGAGCCCGCCCTCATGAAGGCAGCTCACTGTGCTCATCCCTGCCCATCTCCCACTCCCACCAGCATCTTAAAATAGAGAACCTGGCTGTCATAATCTGCTTTCCACACTCATGACTTCAGACTGTTTCCCCGATGGCTTCCGCAATGACTCCTCTCCAATCCGCAGCATCTGGTCGCGGCCCTCCCTCCCTTCCCAGCCCTAAAAGCTCCGAGGCAGGCACATTGAGACTACACGTCAGGAACCCACGTGGACGCCCGCCCACTCGGCAGCAGCTCCCTGGCGGCTCTAGCAAAGCAACACGAGGCTTAATTACAACACGTTCCTTCCCTTATTGAGTTCACAGTTTATAGAGGACCCATACTTAAGGACTCGGATCTCCCCGTGGGGTGTTTCAGGGTACCTTACCATCCAGCCGTGCTATCAGAGAAATCTTTTTAAAAATGGAAACCTGAGATCTTGCCAGTGTTTCCACTTCCCATGCATCATAGACTGGTGCTGAAATTAACCCAGGTATCTCAGTTATCTTTTCTTTACCTGAGCTACTAAATGCAGCCAGATAGGTAGGTAGGTAGGTAGGTAGGTAGGTAGGTAGGTAGGTAGGTAGACAGACAGACAGACAGACAGACAGACAGACAGACAGAAAGAAAAGAAAGATAGATCAAACTGGTACCTAGAGATACTGACTTGAACCTGGCGGTCCGTCCCTATCTATTCCTTCTTATGCCTGCTTTACACCATTCCCAGTCTTATATCCTCATAGAACATTATATCATATCATCACATAGGTTTGTAGGAAAAGTATACATCATCAAACTTCAGTATTATTTTGCTTTTTTTTTTTTTTTTTTTTGACAAGGTCTTACTATGTAACTAGCTGGCCTGGAATTGGCTCGTGAACCAGGATAACCTAGAACTCACAGAGGTCTGCCTGGCTGACTCCTGAGTGCATGTCTCGCCATACCTGACCAGACTTAAACATTTTTAACCCCTTATTCACTAGTTAGTTCAAATCAGTATCTATCCCCCCCCATCTCCCTCTCTTATCCCTCCCTATCTTCTTCCCCCACTTCTTAGTCTCTCTCCCTCCCTTCCCCTACCCTGCCTTCTTCCTACCCCCTTCTTTCTCCCTTTCTTCTCCCTCACCACCATGCCCAGAACTTCCTAGATGCTCAATACACACTCTGAACCCAGGCCCTGCCCTCTTCCATTTTTCTATTCTTATTTGAAATGTTTTCCTTGAGGCTGACAGGTGCACAAATGTACACACACATAATATTTCCTTCCCTTTATCTCTATTCCATTCCTGTTGATTTTGGAGTAGATGTTTGAGAAGAATTATCTCTTGGCTTTTTTGGCGGGGGTAGTACACAACATGGTTTCTCTGTGTAGCCCTGATTGTCCTGGAACTCATTCTGTAGACCACGCTGGCCTCTAACTCACAGAGATCCACCTGCCTCTGCCTCTGCCTCCCAAGTGCTGGGATTGAAGATGTGCATGACTCCCTCCCAGCTTCTCTTAGCTTTTAACTGACAAAACAAAGATTCTTAGCCATTTGAGGGGTCTTGAGTTTCAAAGTCCTTCCTTCCTTCTTCATCTTTTTTTTTTTTTTTTTGGTTTTTTTTTTTTTTTTTTGGTTTTTTCGAGACAGGGTTTCTCTGTAGCTTTTGGTTCCTGTCCTGGAACTAGCTCTTGTAGACCAGGCTGGCCTTTAACTCACAGAGATCCGCCTGCCTCTGCCTCCCAAGTGCTGGGATTAAAGGCTTACGCCACCACCCCCACCACCACCACCCCACCCCACCCCTCCCCCCCTCCCCCCACCCCCGGCCCTTCTTCATCTATTTTGAGGCATGATCTTAGGGAGCTAAGGCTGACCTTGAACTCCTGATCCTCCTACCTCTACCTTCTAAGTGCTAGAATTATAGGCATGAACCACCATTTGCGTGTGTGCGTGTTTCTGCATTGTTGGGGACCAGACCTTCATTGCATTAGTAAGCAAACCCTTCACCAACTGATCTACATCCCTAGCCCCCACAGTTCTTTTTTATTTCTTTTTACTTTTTTTCTAATTTCAAGCATAGTTTATATACAGCATTGAAAAATGTAGAAAATGCTAGTTGTTAAAGGTTGGGCTGACCAGGTGATTCATTCTGAAAAGGTACTTGCCACACAAGCCTTACAACCAGAGTTCAATCTGGGTCTCAGCGTGGATGGAGAGAACTGACTTCTAAACGTTATCCTCTGGCTTCCACACGTGTCATTGGTGTTCGCACCCACCCATCCATCATCCACACTGCCTGCATACACACAATCCTAGTTTTTTTGTTTGTTTCTGTTGTTTAATCCCGAGAGCCCATACACTCGGTAAAGTTGCGCTATGGCAGAGATGATTTGCCAACTATACAGCCGTCATTCCTCACTGGCCCCTGCCTGTCTGCCTTACCACAAAAACTCAGACACAGGGCTTATATCCTGGCACCCAGTGGTCCTCGCACACTGTGTGAATTAGCTCTTAGTGTGGCAGCAGGTGACCCTGTAAAGCACAGAGGGTCAGAAAAGCAGACTTACGTGTCTTGCTTTCGTGTCCTGGGGGCAGGGGTTTGGCTGCTGCTTTGCTGGGCTCAGCTCCATTAATGTCTTCATTCAGAACCAAGGCTCAGGAAGGAAGTGTTTTCATGGCAGAAGCTTTAGGAAAAGCTTGGGGAAACTGGACGAGAGTGTCAGAGAGCCATTAAGACTGTCACATTCACTTGTGTTGACCAGTCAAACCACGTGGTTGGGGAAGTAACATCCACTGGATGTGGGCACTTGACTAGTTTCCAGTCTACCTCTGTGGTGATTCCTTATGCCCTCATCTGCAGTTGGAATTTGGAGAGAAAATTGATGTGTCACAGAACAGATGAAGGTGTCCTCTGATGTCCGTAGGTGTCACATACTTCTGGGACAGTCCGTAGCTGCCCTGGCTACATGCTAGTTCCATCCTTTCTGAGCCGCAGCAGTCAGTTCAGGTGATGTCTCTTGCAAGGTGTCTGCAAGGATCCTTGCAGTCCTTGGTCATCTCATCTATGATTTAGCTGATATGAACTCATCAATAAATTCCATTGTGATCGTTTCCCTCGTCAGCAGCTTCCACGCGTGGAAACAGACATGGCAAGTTTGCGATCTGTGTTTTGTTTTTGTTTTGCTTCTTACCATATTTCTTTCTGATTATTTCTTTGTTTTGCTCCTCGTTAGGTTTCCCCTGTACTATGAGCTGAAGATTGCCTTTGTCATTTGGCTGCTGTCCCCCTATACCAGAGGGGCGAGTTTAATATACAGAAAGTTCCTTCATCCTCTTCTCTCTTCAAAGGAAAGGGTAAGGTATCTCAGTTATTTTCACACCCTGTCTTTTGGTAATGTCTGTCAGCGCATGCTCTACCCGGGGTTATGAAGAGAGGCCTTTTAACATTGATTATAATTAAAACTAACGGGAAAAAAAATCAACAACAAACTAGCAGGGCATAATGGTGCACACCCCAGGAGGCAGAGGCAAGCAGATCTCTAAGTTTTAGGCTAGCCTGGTTTACCTATCCAATTCCAGGCCAGCCAGGGCTAGATAGTGAGACCCTCATCTCAAAAAACAAAAACCTGAATAAACTAACATCTATGGATGTGTTCTTGTTTCTGTTGGCCAGTTGTTTTTGTTGTGTGTGTGTGTGTGTGTGTGTGTGTGTGTGTGTGTGTGTGTGTGTGTGTGTGTTTAAGACAGGATCTCAGAGTAACATCCTGGCTGACCTGGAACTCCTTATGAAGACCAGGCTAGCCTCAAATATACAAAGATCTGCCTGTCCTGAGTGTTGAGATTAAAGGCATTCACTACCACACCCAGCTGGATTACCTTGTTTGTTTGTTTGTTTGTTTGTTTGTTTGTTTGTTTAATCAGGGCCTCAAGTAGCCCAGACTGGCTTTGAATTTACTTTGTAACCGAAGATCACCTTGAACGTCTGCTCTTTCTGCCCCTGCCTCCCTCCCTACTGGGATCACACACCTGATTTGACTGTGAACTCTTTGCCCCCAGGAAATCGATGACTATATTGTCCAAGCAAAGGAAAGAGGCTATGAGACGATGGTGAACTTCGGGCGGCAGGGTTTGAATTTAGCGGCTGCAGCGGCTGTCACAGCAGCAGTGAAGGTGAGTTTCCCTTTGCTGTATTGGGTTTTCCAGTCAGACATACTTCCTTTTAGGTCAGTAGAAAATGGTGACAGAACTCTTTTTTATATTTATCCTAGCACTTGAATGAACAAATAAGTAATTTAATGACATTTTAACACTTCATTTTCTATGCTACTTGGGAGTTCAAAGCTCTTAATTTATTATGAAATTAGAGGTAGCTAATAAATAAAACATACCTGCAAATTTCATTTTGGGATACAATCCTCCCCTCTCCTTTTAACCTTGAAATAGTTTTGATAAATCACATTAAGTAAAGATGACCATTCTTTTCTCTGTGTCTTTGGTCTCCCCCTTCCCCCCCCTCTCTCTCTGGCATTGCCTTGCTAGGATTTCTGGCTTCCTTCCGCACCTCTACTTCAACCACTTTGAGGTAACTGGTTATTCAAAATAAAGCATGCAAAAAGCTTGTGCTGAGTCACTAATGTCATCGCTGTTCTCGCCATCTGAGTTACTGATTGAACAGCCTTCTCTGGAGACTGGCGCCATGACTCCTGGGCTCCTTTGCATGTAGTAGTTGATGTGGCTTATTTTCAAAAGCATAGTACAACTGATCTTAGCGTGTGGTACATGGGGAAAAGAAAAACCAGGCGTCACAACCAAAAAGTGCTGACCGTGACTTTTGAAGTCACCGTAAGCTGTTTGCTAATTTGTGTGTGCCTTGGTTGCTTTGTGTGTAGAATAAGGGTGACGTGTCTCTGAGCATACATGATAGCACTGTGCTTGCTCACGGTGGAACCAGGGATCCTCAATTTCAGGCAAATGGTTTACTAATATGAGATAAAATGTGGGCAATTAGTATTCTACTTTCAAGTCAGACTCTTTTGTTGTTTGTTGTTAAGATTTATTTTTGTTTTAATTGTGTATGTGTGTGCGCGCGCTTGTGCATGTCTGTGTCTATCGGTGTGGGTATAATGCCTGTGGGTGCGGTTGCCCATGGAGTCCAGAGCATAGGATTCCCTTGTGCTAGGGTTACAGACAATGTGAACCTCCTAATGTGGATGCTAGGAACCGAAATTGGGTTGTCTGCAAGAGCAGCAAGAGCTATTGACTTCTGAGCCATCTCCCCAGCTCAGGTCGGGCTCTTTGTGGCTGCACTGCGCTGTGGAAGACTGCAGTTCAATTAGGGGTGATTTTATAGGCCGCTTGAGAGCACGTTCACTTCTCAGAGCCTTCGGCTGGCTCACCTCAGAGTCTATGTAAGCAAAAGTGAGAACTCTGATGTTCTTCCTGGCCATATTGTAGTGAGAGCTAAGCAGAAAGTCATTCGTAGACATATGTAGATAACTGTATTGATAATGGCTGTTGATTACTGTAGAGAAGTAAACTACGGTGTTTACTGCTATATAGCCTTCCTCTTCCTGGGCCTGTAATGGGCTTTTCTTTCATTAAAATAGATGAATAGTTTCTAAAACAGCAACGTTTTGAACTTATTGGGTACAGACCATGTGTACCTGTATATACACAGACCTGAGCACTGTGAAAAGTGTATTGGGGATTATGCACAGGGTAGGAAAGCTAAGCAAATGAAAACTAAAAAGGCAATTATTAACTCTGGGGGAAAAAAACAACAAGAATTTTATTAGAAGCAAAGTACAGCTCGGCGGTGGTGGCACAGGCTTTAATTCCAACACTCGGGAGGTAGAGGCTAGCAGATCTGTGTGAGTTAGAGGCCAGTCTGGTCCTCAGAACAAGTTCCAGGATAGGATCCAAAGCTACACAGAGAAACCCTGTCTCAAAAAAAAAAAAAAAAAAAGAAACAAGAAGAAGCAATGTACAATAACAGAACCTGGCCCAGCCAGGCAGTAAGAAGAACACAAAAATTTCAACTTGCTGTGCTGAGAAGTGGGGTTGGGGAGGAGGGATGGAGGTGGAAGAAAAAGCGCTCACCCTCAGGGCACAGGTCAGAGGGTTTATCTTTTATTGTGCTTGCCTGTAGAGGGGTGTGACCACAAGAAGCTTGCTCCTTCCCATTTTTTTAAGCTCAGCATTGTTTGACGTGCAGGCCAAGTGAATACATTCATTTACACCTCAAAGACATTTCCGAACTTGTCTTATTTAAAAAGCATCATTTAACATGATCCTGTGTAGAAAACTGCAAATTCAATTTCAACTTTGAACGTGCGTTGAAAACGCATTTGAGGACATTGTTTTAGTAAACATAGAAAGAAACCCCAGTGGTTCTCAGTTTAACACTTAGAAATATTTCTAATGTGTTGTCTGGCTTGTGTATATGTGCACCATATGCATGCCTGGTGCCCCAGAGGCCAGAAGCAGGTGTTGGGTCCCCGTAGTTAGAGCCATAGTTGTTGTGAACTCCTCTAAGGGGGCTGGAGACTGAACTCATTTCTTTTGTAAGAACAGCAAGTGTTCTCAGCTACTGAGTCATCTCTCCAAATCCTAACCACGTTATATAACTATTTGTAGGGTATTTACTGTATCATGACATATTTATTAAGCCTATTATTGCTTCATGGGAAGTCAGCAACCCTCACAATATAATTTTATCCTTATTCCTTTATCTCATATTTGCCTTCATCAGTTTTTACCATCCTACCACGCTATCTATTGCACACTTGACGTCTCTCCATTATCCTAGTCTAAGATGCAGTCTAAGATAGTCTGGCCCTGTGGCCTCGGAGGCGCCTTACCTTCCCACTGCAGCCAATGTATCTTTTGGTTGCTAAGACCCTCTGATATTAAATAATGTTATCTCACAGCAAGACTTTTCTATAAAAAAATGCCACAAAAGATAATCCCGTATCTACTTCCTCCTTTGTGATTCATGGATTTCACTTTTATATTTAACAACTCAAAATCAACTTTCCACTCCCCGCCCCCAGGCAGGAAACCAGCCCACCACTGAAGCTCACTGCCCTGCTTGCTGGTGTCGTGGTTGTTTAACCGAAAGAGTCTCAGTGTGTGTGGTCGTATCATGTTCTCATGACTCTAGGAATGCTGGAACACTCGATTCTTGGTGCTGTTGTGTCTGTTAGAAATAGTAACTGTTGAGTGCTGTGTAATGCTAGCTCTGTTAGCCTCAACGTATACTGTGCTTTCTCTAAGTGGCTGAAATCAGTTTCATTTCCGGAGACATTTACCAAAAAAAAAAAAAGAAAGAAAGAAAGAAAAGAAAAAAAAAAGTATTGTCACAAAAGAACTCACTGAAGCAGGCATTTCATACTCAAGTAAATTGGAGCCAAATTGAGAAATAGTTCAGGATTAAAGAGAAATGAAAGAAAAACGATAGCAAAATTTATGCATTGTTTTTATATACATATATATATTAAAGCATAGTTTGTTAGAAGTATCTTTCAGTCTAAAAATTATTGCACTCGTTGTATGATCTTTAGGCGATGGCGACTTTCTGCCTAGGATCCCCAGGTTGAACCACCTGAGCGTATAAGAGATGGAAACAGGAATCTAATCAGAACATTTATTACACCATAAAGCAATTCCCTGAAAAATGTTACTCAGTCCTCTGGCCTCATTACCGGGCATCTGTTCGCAAGGTCAGTGTACGAGTTTATTTTGGCTGAGCAAAGCACAAATAACATGAAGGACCTTCAAGGATTCTGCTGAGGATGCTAAGCAACCCTGCTTCCACGGCAGAGATGCAGGTGGCATTGCTGTAGCTGCCCGCCACCCATGCGATGAAGGGCAGGTGAAGAGCAGAGCCGCTGGCCCCTTGGGCCACCTCAGCATTCACTCTGGCAGTCTCTTCTCATTACGTCTCTTTAATAGACCCCCCCAAAAAAAATTTAAGGAAATTAGAGCTCTGCAGGTAAAATTGCTGAACTCTAATTGACTTTTAAAGGCACCATTATTACCTTCAAATTCCTGACCCCTTGCTATCTGTTTTAATGACTTTCTGTTTGTGAAAGGGTTTTGAGAATGTTCATTTATAGATTCTTCCCCTTTCCTGTAGGGAAGAGAAAATCGAGTCCATTTTCCTACAGTCCACAGAGCAGGTTAGTGTAGCCGACACTGGATTCTAGAACACTCGAATCAGTCTGGATTTTTTTTCTCTTTAAGTTTGGATTCTGCCATGTATCGGCCACAAGACTGTTGGCAAACCATCTACACTAATGTAAGAATTAAGCACTTTTCTTGTCTATAAAGCGAAGGGTAGACTATTGATATCTAAAACCTGCTGCATCTCCAGAACGGCAGCTCTCAACTGGAAGTGGTTTATGCTCCGACGTGCACCAACATGGACGTTTTAGGTCCTCACAAGTGACCAGGACCCACTCCTGACACCTAAGTAGGTGTCAGGGATACAGCTTACTGTCCTGCATGTAGCTTACTGTCCTGCAGGGCAGAAACACTGCAATGACTTTCCAGTTCAGAAGAGCAATGGCACTGAGGTTGAGAAACCCTACTTCAAAGGTGTACTGAATCTGGGGCGTGGGGGAGGACACACGACTAAACTAAATGAACATACACACATGATAAGAAGTTTAGGAAATGATTACAAGTCATTTTGATCTTCTAGTTCCTTTTAATTTTTTTATCTATAGTAATTATTCTTCAATAAATATTTATCTCTCCAATCTTAAACACTTAAGATACATCATTCACCTAGTGGGAACACATCTAGGTCCACCCCAGACTTCATCGATGCTTTTATCGACTATCCAGAGAGGAGGTTCCCCCAACAATGAGAACTAAACGTAGCAACTGTTAAATGTAACACCCATCCCAGGTGACGAGTAGAGCTGAGTGACGGTCATAACGGAATGGGGTAGTAGGATTACCATAGAAAAGCATAGACTGTAATAAAGCTTGATAGGATAACACTACATGGCTGTATATAGATCTAACGCTGTGTGGCTGACCTAGAACCCAGGACCCTCCTGCCTCAGCTCCCGAAGGGCTGGGACTACAAGCGTGAGCTACCATACCCAGCTGTGCATCTAGTTCTGACATGAATGAGATCTAAAGTGCCAGAGTATGCAATGCCCTGTCGATGGTGACCCCTTCTTCCTGACTGGAGTGCTGTTTCTATACTCTGCACAGACTAGCCTCAGTTCTCTTATCCTTTTGCTTAATATTTATTGTGCAAGCCAAATAGAGGAGGAGGGGCACGCATTTAACTGAAGCAAAGCAGAAATGCCTGTTAGTGGTAAATGAGTAGGCTTTGCCACTTTGCCCTCAAAACAGAAGCTGGGCTAGTGAGATGGCTTAGCAGATAAGAACACATACCACTCTTGCAGAAGCCTGGAGTTCAGTTACCAGCACCACACTGGGTGGCTCACTACTGTGTGCCTCTGGCTACAGCCTCCAGCTACAGCCTCTGGCTTCTGCAAGCCCCAACACTTAAATGCACACACCAACCCCCTCCCATACACACCCATCCCCCAGGCACATGCACAGTTTTAAAAAGTAAAAATAGATTTTTTTAAAAAACTTTTTTTAAGAAATCTTTTTTTTTTTAAGATAGCAGAAAAACTATTTTTATTCTTCTGTGTTTGTTTCATTTTCGAGGCAAGGCCACACACTATGTCTGGCCTACCTCCGTCGGGTCACTCTGCAACTGTGTTTCTTTTGATGATAGGAGCAAAGCATTAGATACAAAAACCCTAGTGACCAGTGGAGCAGAAATTGTTATTGTGTTGCATGTTACTATAATCAGGTCTCCATTAAGCCAGCGTGAGGACAGATAAGGACGGTGGCTGAGAATGCTGTAGCAAAACCCTTCACTTGGAATACGGATTTTAAAGCTAACTTTTAAAAAGATTTTTCTTAAACTTTATTAAATAAAATCATTAATTCAGAATATTAAAGAAAAATTTGAAGGGTTAGAAAATCAATCACCCATCTCATCTACCTAAACATTAATTATACTGTCCTCATTTTGCATATTTTCCCACATACTGCAGGCTTGCAATCCCTTCATCATGGATGTGATTAGGACCAGAGTGAGCAAGTTGCCCTTCGGATATGGTTATTTTGTAATTACTCCTCTCCTTTGAAGTAGTTACATTGGATAATTACAACATATTGAATGTTTTTCAACTTTACAGTGCTACACTTATTCTCTGTTCTCATTTTAGATGTGGTTTTGTCTATTAAAAAAAAAAAACTTTATAGTGGGAAATCCAGTTTCCCAAGGTAGTAAGAACTGTTGAAGTGTCAAGAGTCCTCAAAAAAAAAAAAAAAAAAACAGCTTATATCCCCTTTTTAATCTTCCCCAAGGCTAGTCCCAAGTGTCACCAGCTGGCCTCAGAATCACTGTGTCTGAAGACTGCTTTAAGCCTGTAATCCTGCTGCCCTGTCTCCTGATTGCTGGGATGACAGGCATGCATCACCAGGCCCTGTTCAGTCCATGCTGGAATGGCGTCCTGAACTTCCTGCAGGCTCATGCTAAGCAAGTGCTCTGCCCACTGAGCTGTGCCCTTAGCCCCACTTTCTGTTTTTCCACAGGCCATCACTGAGGGAAGTCAGGGCAGGAACCCAAGGCCGGAACTGAGGCCGTAGAAGAGTGCTACTTACAGCTTTGTCTCCATGGTGTGCTCAGCCTGAGTTCTTAGACAACTCAGGACCACCTGCCCAGGGGTGGCACCACCCACAGTGGGCTGGTCCTTCCCACATTGATCTTTAATCAAGAAAATACACTACAGATCTGCCTACAGGCAATATGATAGAGGCATTTTCTCGATGAGGTTTCTCTTCCCAGATAACTCTGGTTTATGTCAGGTTGGGGGCAGGGAATAGTCATAAAAAGAATACTACGTTTGCATGTTAATGATCTGCTCAATATAAAACCATTCTAAACCAGGCAGTACATGCTTTTAATCCCAGCACCCGGGAGGCAGAGGAAGCAGATCTCTTGTGAATTTGAGGCCAACCTAGTCTACAAGAGCTAGTGCTGGGAGAGCTAGGGTTGTTACACAGAGAAGCCCCGTCTCGATAAAACCAACAACAACAACAAAAGACCATTCTAGATGGTCTAGTAGGGCAGAAGCCTAAGATTCACCCTGTCTCTGTTCTCCTAAAATCTTGCTCCTATAGCAAAAACACATCATACAGCAATAGAAGCAACAACAGCACTCTGGTTCATTGTTGAGGTAAGCTTTCTCTACCAATTAAAACCACTTGCAATGGTGCAATTATTAACCCAGTCAACAATCAGTGCCATTGTAAAACCAGCCCTGGAAACTGTATTCAAGCGGGTGGAGAGGTGGGATGGATAGATAGATAGATAGATAGATAGATAGATAGATAGATAGATAGATAGATAGATAGATAGATAGACAGACAGACAGACAGACAGACAGATCTATTTAAAACCCAAGTCATAATATGTGGACTTGCATGCCATTTGTACGTGGGTATGGGATGGAAAGAACAGGCCAGGAGTATTGAGGATTTACAGAAAGAGAAAGGCACAGTAAAGAAAATGACGAACAGTTCTGAGGAGATAGGTGAGCACAGCACTTCTGTGACCTTTGTCTCTACGGTGTCTCGCGCCCATCTTTGCCGTAAGTCAGTGCTATGTACCTGCTCAACAGAACTTAATATGATGAGCTGAGTTTGTCAAGAGTCTTTTTAAATGTGTTGTTGTGTGTGCACAATAGAGGAGAGGCATGTGTGCAAAGGACAGCTTTGTGAGGTGGACTCCCTCCCTCCACTCCTGCGCGGGGACTGGGGATCAAACTCAAGTGCTGAGATTAAAGATATGAGCCATTACACCTGGATCAAAGCCTAATTTTTTTGTTTTTTTTTTTTTTGTTTTTTTTTTGTTTGTTTGTTTGTTTTGGTTGATTGGCTTGTTTTCAAGGCAGGGTTTCTTTGTGCAGCCCTGCCTGTCCTGGAACTTGCTCTGTCAATGAGGCTGGTCTCAAACTCAAAGAGATCACCTGCCTCTGACTCCCAAATGCTGGAATTAAAGGTGTGCACCACCATCCCTCCAAAAATAATTTTTAAATGTGTGGTATCCACTTATTTTAATGGGGAAATGGATTTTAAGCATTTTCTCTTTTTTCCTTGGATATATTTCCTTATGTTAAAGTGTTTTGCCTTTATGTTTATGTATGTGTACCATGGGCACACTTGGTATGCAAGGAGACCGGAAGAGGGTATTGGGTTTTCTGGAGTTGGAATTGCAGATGATATACTGTGTGGGTGCTGGGAATTGAACCCGGGTCCTCTACAAAAGCAATGAGAACTTTTAGCCACTGGGCTTTCTCTCCAGCCCCAACTTTAAGTGTTCTCGCACAATTCAAAGCATAGCAGAAATACAAACCTTACCTAGGCAGTAGACACAGCGTGTGGTTTGACATGGTATCGGTAAGCTAGAGTACTGAATCACGACTTGTGAATCAACGAGCTGTTTCTTCAGGGTAAAACACACGTGAAAAGGAACGCCCAAATGTTTGTAACACCTTTAACGCTGAAGTTTAGAGATGAAGCATGACGGGTGAGTTTCCATGGTGATGTGAGAAGTAGAGGCAATCCGAAATTCACGTGTGTGGGAAGAAATCATCAGTGTAAACGCCTTGAGACAAGTATTTTTAGCCCAGCTATAAATAAAACAATGAATCATCCGTATGCTATGCAGATTTAAAGTGGGTAAATTTAGGATTTTTTTTTTTCATTTTACAAAGCTTCACAGTTTAGAGAGATGTATCTTAAAAGTTCAGATGAATGTCCCCATGAAAGCCGAGTGGCGATGAAAACCGTTGCATGCGGCATGTGATGGGGATGCTCTCTGTGCTGGCCGTACTCTTTCCGCCGCAGTCGCCGGCAGCCAGAGACATCTTAGATGTGGCTAGTGGAAGTAAGGAACTTCATTTCAGCTCTGCAACAGTGGCACGCGCCTTGAATCCTAGCACTGGGGTGGCAGAGGCAGGCGGATCTCTATAAGTTCAAGGCCAGCTAGGGCTCCACAGAGATACCCTGTCAAAAAAAAAAACAAAGTGTGTTTTCCTTTTTAATTAATTTGCATTTAAATATTTGCTTGTGTCTGTCATATTTTTAGGACAACAGTAGGAGCTTAAGAGCTGGCTCCGTGGTTAGAGGTGTTTATTGCTCTTGCAGAGAACCCGGTTCACTTCCCAACTTCCACATGGTAGCTCATTGCCTCTACCTCCAGTCCCAGGGGATCAACAGCCTCTTCTGGCCTGGCAGGTCGCTGCATCCCTGTAGTACCCATCCATACATGCAGACACCTTCTCATATACATAAAATAAAAACGAATATACCTTTTATAAAGACGAAATGAACTATCCTGTGATGGACATGTCTGGCCGGATTGTGCATTGTGTGAAGATGTTTGCATATCCGAAATTCTTCGGCTCCTGACTCTTTCCACCGACCTCCAGTTCGAGCTATTTACCATTCGTGACTTACGCTTGTTTTAAAACACTGTCCTTCCTTGAAGAACTTCTCTACATCATAAATATTAAGCCCCAGCAGGCTAGTTTTACTGTTACTAATCCAGAATACTGAGCCACAACTCAGAATTATATTGCTATTTGCTCTGAAGTTAATTTCATTATATTAAACAATAAAATAAAAACATATCTTAAAGTTTAGTATAATGCTGAAATGACTGGAATAAAATGTATTGATGGAATGGCATACTTTGAAATGCATAAAAAGGAAAATGGATTGATGTTGCTATAGATATCAGAAAGCAGGTATAAACAGTGTGTGGCATTCACCTAGCTGTCAGCCGCTCCAAGTGCTTTTTTATATAAAGTAAGATGTGCAGGGATGTTAATATATGAAAAAATATTCCTGTGTTTCTTAAATGTTTTAGCATGTTGTAAGACAAATAGAAGAATATTAAGGATTTGAAAGTATTTTTTTTCCTCGGGTCTTATCACATCTCTGTTAAATAGAGCCAAGGAGCAATAACGGAGCGCTTACGGAGTTTCAGCATGCATGATTTGACAGCCATCCAAGGTGATGAGCCCGTGGGACAGAGACCCTACCAGACTTTGCCAGAAGCAAAGAGGAGAAGCAAACAAGCCAGTGAACCAGCAGGTATGCTTATGTGTCGGAATATGCAAGGGTCTTTCATAAAAGGGCTAGAGTTCAGAGTGGCTACTATATAACACACAGGTTCGGAGACAGAGCTCACTTGGCTATTGATACCATTTTTGTCAGGACAGAGTCTTGTGTAGCCTATGCTGGCCTCAGGCTTTCTATATAGGTGAGGCTGTCTTCAACCTCTTGATCCTGCCTGTACTACCCCAGTGCTAGAACTATAGGTGTGAGCAACCACACCCAGCAAAATTTACTCTTTTTAAACATATGTTTTGGGGCTTATTATTTTGTGTGTTGTCTTCCTGTTTTCCAGACAGGGTGTCATAGCCCAAACTTGCTAAGGCTGACCGTGAACTTTCTGGTCCTCTTGCGTCTAAAGGCCAAGTGCTGGGCTCAGGTGTGCAGCCCCACATCTGATATAATGCAACCCTAGGGAGAGAAGCCAGAGATTTGGACAAGCACTCTCTGCCAACCAAACCACATGCCCAGCCCAAGCATGTCTTTTTGAGTCTCAGTTTTCCTGTGCAGCTTTGAGTTTTGGTTTTACCCATAGCCCTTTCTTTCCAAATTTTCTCTAAGTCAAACTGCTACTTGGCCTTTTGCTGCCGACAGAATTCATGAAGCTAGCGGGGTATGGTAGTGCACACTGGTTGTACCAGCAGTTGGGAGGCAGAGGCAGGTAGATCTCTGTGATCTCGAGGCCATCCTGGTCTACAGAGCAGGTTCCAGGACAGCCAAAGTTACACAGAAAAACCCTGAGGGGGAAAAAATGGAAGAAAGGAAGATTGATCATTTGATCGTGCAACTAAAAGCAGAGCTGTGGCCTCCCAAGCATCTGTGAGGTTTTAGGGGCTGTGGGCATGGTTCAGAGCTCAACCCGTGCTTTAGTTCTGACTGGTCACCAGCACTCTCTGTTCAGACTGTGGACTGACATCTGAGCAGTTCCATGGGTGAGCAGCACTCTGCGAGGTCTGTGAACAAGCAGGGGCGTTGACTCACAGGTGAGAAGGCTTAAGCGGATGACGAGCCATGACTCAAAACCGAAATAAGATTACTCCAGCGGGCAATGTGGTGAGATCGCACACTCCAGTTCAAGAGCTAGCTTGTCGGCGTATTCTGCAGAAATGATGAGCTTGTCGGAGTTGCTGCATCTTGTGCCTGGCATGGACCGGTGTGGTCTTGGAAGCAGGTGTGAAACATGCAGAGTCCCTTCACCATCGTGGCCCGTCTGCAGCAGTCTTCCTTCACATCCAGGCTGAAAGCGAAGATGCTGAGGACATTCCTTTTTTTCTTTAATTTATTTAACTTTTTGTTATGTGCATTGCTTATTGGCCTGCATTTTTGTCTGTGTGAGGATGTCGGATCCCCTGGAACTGGAGTTACAGACAGTTGTAAGCTGCTATGTGGGTGCTGGGAATTGAACTCGGGTCCTCTGGAGGACATTCCTTATTAAGGTATTAATCAGTCTTTTGAAAACTGTTTTCTTAAGAGACAGGCTGAAAATGATTATAATAGCTCAAGCTAATTTTTAAAATGAAGTAACAGCCCCTCCTTTTTTTTTCTTTCTTTTTTAAAGACCAAGTTTTGTACTGTAACCTAGGCTGACCTTGAACTCTTGGCAGTTCTCTGGCTTCAGCTTCCCAAATGTTAGCTTCCCACCTAGCCATAGTTCCTCTTCAGAGAGAGGGGCTGGAGAGATGTCTCGTTGGTTAAGAGTGAACACTGCTCCTGGAAAGAACCCAAGTTCAGTTTCCAGTGTTTATTCGCAGCTGCCGTAACTCCCAACTCCACCACCCTCTGTGAGCACCTGGACTACGTGCACATGCCCACATACAGATATGTGTGTATGTGTGTACATACATGTGCTTAAAAATAATAAAAGTAACTCTTCCACTTTCTCCCCAAAATGAATAATACTTAAAATTTAAAATGGTGGCCAGTGTCTAAAAGGTTATAATCAAACTAACCATTGGTTAATGTAATACTTTTAAGAATGAAGACCAGAGGCTGGGCTGTGGCTCAGTGGGCAGAGTGCTTGCCTAGCATACAGAAAGCCCTGGGTTCCATCCCCAGCATTTCATAAACGGGGGCTTGGTGATACACACCTGTAACCCAAGCGCTCAGATTTGAAAAGAGGTGGAAGCAGGAAAGATCAGAAGTTCAAGGCCAGCCTCAACTACCTAGCCTGAACTGCATGAGACCTTGGGTCAAAACAGCAGAGAGAGAGAGAGAGAGAGAGAGAGAGAGAGAGAGAGAGAGAGAGAGAGAGAGAGAGAGAGAGAATATGAGAGAATATGAGAGAATATGAGAGAATATGAGAGAATATGAGAGAATGAGAATTATTGTACAGGAAGGAAAAAAACACATCTTGCATCCCAAAGAAGACAAAAGGAAGCCATCAGAAATGTTCTCATTATCCGGGCAGAGTGGCACACGCCTTTCACCTCGGTACTCCAGGGGCAGAGGCAGAGGAGACTGATCTCTGAGTTCAAGGCCAGCCTGCTCTCACTCTCTAAAGTGAGTTCCAGCAGAGCCAGAGCTGCACACAGAAACCCTGTCAGAAGGAGGAGGAGGAGGAGGAGGAGGAGGAGGAGGAGGAGGAGGAGGAGGAGGAGGAGAAGAAGGAAGTGGAGGGCGGGGGCAAACAAACAAGAAAGTTCCCCTTGTCAACTGTAAAACCCCCGATTTCCTCAAACAATCACAGTCCCTTCCTTTGTTCAGAATGAGGGGTGACTGGGCTCAGCAAAGCAAAGTAATTCTGTTCAGGGTCCCATGCAGCTGTGCTCCAACAGCAGCTGGGACTGGAGCCACACACCCAAAGGGCTCGCACGTGTCCCCGTCAGAGCCTGGAAAAGCCAAGCAGCAGGTGTTAATCTGTGTCCCCTCTGTGTGGACTCGCAGGAGTCACCTGGCAGCTGCGGTTCCCACAAGACACTGGCAGAAATCCCACTTTGGTGCCTTCACTGCGCTATTGGTGGTGACTGAGGCGACTGCAAAAGCCTGGGAGGTTGAAGGGGAGGGGGAAAGCCCTGAGCCAGCCTCTTGGACTTCCTGTGAGTTCAAAATGAACTGATCATGTTGGATGACAATCTGCCAGACAAGTGTTCAGAGCGGTTTGTCCAGGACCTCTCCCCTCGTTGATAATAACAGAAGCCAAGCACCTACAGTGACGGTTGATTACCATGAAGACTAACGATGTCCCGTTCCGAGGGGGAGAAATAGGTCAGTGAGACAGCGTAGTGGAGAGGCGCGCCAGTTGTAGTTGGTGGTCAGGATTAAGAGGTGTGAGGCTGTTCAGTGTCTCTACAGGCTAGAAAATCCAGAGATCTTCTCACAGGTTAGCACTGTCTACTTCTATGTAGTGGGGCTTTTTGTTTTTCTTTTGTGTGTGTTCTGTTGTTTGATTGGGAGGGTGTTGCTGTTTATCTGTTTGTTTAGTTTTAATTCATTACTCAGTCAGAAATAACACAATATTCTTTTTTTTTAATATTTATTTATTATTTATTATGTATACAGTATTCTTTCTGTGTGTATGCTTGCAGGCCAGAAGAGGGCACCAGACCTCATTACAGATGGTTGTGAGCCACCATGTGGTTGCTGGGAATTGAACTCAGGACCTTTGGAAGAGCAGGCAATGCTCTTAACCACTGAGCCATCTCTCCAGCCCCCATAACACAATATTCTTATTTTGGTTTTTGTTTGTTTGTTTTTGTTTTTGAGAAAGGTTTTCTCTCTGTAGCCTTCACTATCCTGGAACTAGTTCTGTAGACCCGGCTGGGCCCAAACTCAAAGAGGACCACCTGCCTCAGCCTCCCAAGTGCTGGGATTAAAGGCGTGCTCTACCACCACCTGGCTAATACTCTTATTTTGAAAAAAAATTAAAAAAATACAATAGAAAACTCAAGAAATGACAGCCTCTATTTTTTTTTCTGATTTATTTTTTTCATTATACAAGAATAATTTTTTAAGAAGCTACTTGGCAGTTTAAAAAAGGAGAAATTGAAATTACGTAAAAGCCTACTTCCTGTGACATATAATGGTCTGGGGGCTGTCAGCACGGCTCAGTTGGGTGAGTAGAGGAGCTTGCCACCAAGTTTGATGACTTAGTTACAGTTCCAGGACCCAAGTGGTGGAAGGCAAGAGCGACCTTGAACAGCACACGTGTCTATGCACAGCATGCACACTTAAATAAATTAACTTTTTTTTTTTAGAGAAGACAGAGGACTAGGGAGAAGATTTCATGTTTAAAAGCAAATACATCTCTTTCCAAGAACCCCAGTTTAGTTCCCAGCATCCATGTTGGTCAGTTCAAGGCATCCTGTAACTCCTGTTCCAGAGGGTTGGGGACCCTCATGTACACATTTACATGATGGAAATTAAAATAACCCAAAAATAAAATAGCATAGCTGGGGCATGGTGGCCCAGGCCTTTAGTCCCAGCACTCGGGAGGCAGAGGCAAGTGGATCTTTGTGAGTTCGAGGCCAAACTGGTCTACAAAGCCAGTTCCAGGACAGCCAGGGCTGTTATACAGAGAAACACTATCTTGAAAAACCAAAGTAATAATGATGATAATAGTAACAACAACATAAATCCCTTCAACATACCCCGACACCTCTTCCAAGAGAGAGAGAATATGGCTTCATTTTACCCTAAATAAGGAACATCTCCCTACTTCCTTGAATTTCCTCCCATCGGCCTCCAGCCTCCATTGCCCCAGCCCTCCACGGTCACACTCGGTGCCGCCTGGAATGTGCTACTCTTGACTGCTATAGGAAAACAAAGGATTCTGGCCAAAATAATGTCTGATTCTGCTTCCAAATCCTTCCTGATTTCCAGCCTAGATGTTTGGCAGCCTAAAATTGTTATTGCCTAATATGTAATTAACGTCATTTATGTTATTATGAGAGTGAAAAGCATATTAGCAACTGTTCACAATTTGCATGGTAAGTCTCAAATTATTTGTGTCCTGTGTGAGCTGACTGACAGACATTTGTTCCACGCCATTTTCCTGATGGAAAACTTCGTCCCTGCTTCCTCCTGGGCCCTTATCGCGCGCTCCTTATCTTTATTAGAGAGGGCTTTAAAACTTTTTAGGGCCACGTAACTGCGCACACACCCCCCACCCCTGTCTTCATTGCCTTAGACTGGCCCTTGTCTGGCTTTTGCCAGGAGCCTCGGATTTTGGTTCTCAAAGCTATGGTCATCATCCCCCAGGGCTTGTTAGTGATGCTCATCTCTGCCCCCCTCCCAGGCCTGCTGAATCACGAGCTTCCACGGGCGGGGCCCAGTGACGTGTACTGGCACATTATCCTGATAAGACACGCTAGAGTCTGAGGGCCCTGCCTTCAGGGATGGGGTGCTCTTGCTCCTGACTCCCAACCTGGAGTACTACTAGGATTCTTACAATAGCCATCCCCCCTGGATGCCTGGAAAGTTCCCGGTTTGATCAGCACTGTAACCTTGCCCCAGTGAACTCACCTTTCCGATTGCAGCACCTTTGCATCTTTCCTGGGCTCCCTCATCGTTTGACCAACAGTGTGACAAGTTGGGGAGGGGCTTGGGTCCTAATTAAAATCGAAGGCACAAATGACACCCTAAAACACAACATTTGGGTTTTGTGTAACTCATGTGGGGGTGAAAAGAAACTTTACAGCATATCTGATTATTTTTCTCTGAGGGCCTTTTTTTTTTTCTTTTTTGTTTTCTTTTTCACAGGGTGTGGATGTTATTTCATTGTTTGGAAATTTTTAGGAGAGCCAAGGGTTTTTTGGTTTTATTTGGCTTTGTTCTTGTTGTTTGGGTTTGGCTTGTTTGGTTGGTTGGCTGGTTGGTTGGTTTTTCAGAGACAGGTATGTCTCTATGTAACTCTGGCTGTCCTGGAGCCCATTCTGTAGATGAGACGACCTTCAAACTCAGAGATCTGCCTGCCCCTGCCTTCCAAGTGCCGGGATTAAGGATGTATGACACGTGTCACCACAGCCTGCCTGGTTTGGGCTCTTTAAAATCTTAGATATTATTATTGTGCACTTAGAGGTCAAAGGGCCACTTTGGAGTCATTCTCTTGTTCTGCCTTTTCTCTTGGACTACGTGGCCAGTCCTCTTTTAACATGGGGTCTTACCTTTAACACAGGCAGACCTTAGACACAGTCCTTCTCTGCTTCCTGAGTTCTTGATGCCACTGGTGTGAATCATGTCTGACTGTAGTGTGTGCTCCTCTCTCCTTCTCACCGGATTCCTTTGAGGCAGGGTTTCTCCCTCAACCCTAGGGGCATGTATCTTTGCTAGGCTGACAACCTGGAACTCCCCAGAGATCCTCTTATCTCTTCTGTGCGCACCTCACATGCATACCCACACAGCAGTGAGTTGCAAGAGTCTAGAGGCCCACATCCAGATTTTACTTGAATCCTGGGATCTGAACTCAGCTCTCGTTGTGCTTGTATAAGTGCGCTTACTGAGCTGGCTCCCGAGCCCTCTGACTTATTGTTCATAGTGAGAATGGACTGCTGGCCATGGTGCCATGACTGTGAATTCCAGCCCAGCCTGGGCTGCAGAACAAGACTCATCTCAAAAAAAAAAAAAAAAAAAAGTAGGCAAATGAATAAAAGCTGTCAGGGAGAAGTTCATGGCGGAAATGAGTCCTCTGATCCTTATCTGCAATCGTGCACAAAGGGCCGGGGGCACTTTCCAGACAGCAGGCAGAGTGACCACAGATAGGCCCTCATGTCAGGCAGGTGAAGAGGCAGGCTAACTGTGGCCTCTGTCTAAGGCATGCTCTTCTTGGCCATTTTTTTAGCCTACGGAATTCCAGTGAAGGATGGAGGTGAGCAAACAGACGAAGAGGCCGAGGGGCCGTTCTCGGATGACGAGATGGTGACTCACAAGGGGCTGCGGCGTTCCCAGAGCATGAAGTCTGTCAAGACCATCAAAGGCCGCAAAGAGGTCAGTGTGCATCGGGTAATTGTTTTCCTGATGATCCGTGTGAGGAGTTTCCTTCGGCTTTGTCGTTACCGATAGAAAACGACCCGTGAACGAAGGATTTGAGGGAGAGGGCAGCGTGGTAGTTCAAACCTGTCATTAAAGCGGGTGTGGTGGGGGCTCTAGGGGCATCCCCACCACTACCACCACCACACCAGAAATTTTGAAATAGGAAAGTTCTTATTTTGTGCTCTTCGTAGACAGTGGCGTTCCCGTCGAGCAAACCCCACAGTTACTCTATCTCTTGCCTTCTACATAGGCAAGGAAAGTTGCTAGCGGAATCAGCTGTATAGTGTTGCTTTCCGCAAGCCATACACTATGAGTAAATAGTAGACATTTCCCTGCAGTCACACGGTGCCATTGTGCTAAGACTCACTGACCGACTGTGTCCCCAGCAAGACGTAAATAGTAAGTCGGTGTTTTCATCTGGGATTGGAAATGCCCTGTGTACTGCGCACCCCCGTTGTGTCACCAGCTCCATTCCTGTGGGTGTTCTTAGTAAGGTTGTAACTGGCAAGAGTGTTGCTTCGATGACTGATTGCTTTGGGTGCTCTGCTGGCCTTTGAACCAAGGGCTCCGTGGAGGCAATGCAGCCACCATACTTCTGAGCTGCGTTCCCAGCACATTTATATTAGACGGGGTCTCAATAAGTTGCCCAGACTGACCCAGAGTTCCTTCTGTGGCCAGAGTAGAGCTTGAACTTACAGTCCTCCTGTCTGACCTTCCAAGATAGTTGGCTTTTTATACCAGAAGAATAAAACAATCACTATGATGATGAGGTATTAAATCCTACCTACTAAGTAGGGGGATGGGGTGCACACCTTTAGTCCCAGCACTCGGCAGGCAGAGGCTAGCAGATCTCTGTGAGTTTGAGGCCAGCCTGGTCTACAGAGTGAGTTCCAGGACAGCCATGGCTGTTAAACAGAGAAAGCCTATCTTTTAAAGAAAAGAAAAGAAGGAAGGAAGGAAGGAAGGAAGGAAGGAAGGAAGGAAGGAAGGAAGGAAGGAAGGAAAAAACAAAAAGCCTGTTTAGTTTAAAAGAGCAGTCTGTCTGTTTAGTTCTGCTTGTTTTAGTTTAGGTTAGTTTTAGCTAGTATACAAAATAACAAATGTCCTTATGGCATTTTTAATACATAGTTACTTTAGGTTATCTTTGGTTTGGTTTGGGTTTTTGGTGGTGGTGGTTTTTGTTTGTTTCCTGGCAGGGTTTTACTGTGTCCTGACTTGCTTTGTAGACCAGACTGGCCTCAAACTCACTAAGATCCACCACTACCTGACTGGGTTACCTGCTGTTAACACTAACACTTTTCTTTCTTCAGGTGCGGTATGGTTCGCTCAAATATAAAGTGAAGAAGAGACCACAGGTGTATTTTTAGCGTCTACACCTCACCTATCTCCAGACAAATAACCCTAACAAATCAACTTCATATTCTAACTCGATGCATTCAGGACTTACACTTTAATTCTTCTGATTGCAGCAAGGACGGGATTTACTTTAATAATTTTAAAGAGTTTGTGTTTCTTTAACAATTAACTTTTAGATATTAACTGCTAAATGTAGTTATGTGATGTTTATTGACGTACATGTCTCTAACAGCAGTTACAGAGAATCACATTATCTGATTTCATCAGCAACACTGAGTGTCTGGGATCTAAGGAGAAAACACAGACCCAGGGTATACTTGAAAAGTCTCTCCTTCAGGATACAACTTGCCTTTCTAGTGTTGCGTCATGTTTACACCCATCCATGCCTACCGCATCTGTCACAGGAGGGTGGTGACAGCCACTGAGCAGCCAGTGTCGTGACAAAGACATAGTGTAAGGTGGTGACATGTCCTTTACATAAGCCTTGGAATCGTTCCACCACGAGTTCAAAGTTTTTGAAACAGATGTTTGAAAACCAGATGTTCACACAGCACTTTCCTGGCTGGGTTTTGCACACTTGAAAATTGTTTACTTATTTTATGACTGTACATTTACTTTAAATTTTATTGATGCTGTCTTTTTTGTTGTCTTATATTCTGACATGTCAAAATTATGCCTTCAAATGCATCATCTCCTTTTCCTATGTGTTTGTTTTATTTGTTAAATTCATTTGATTTATAGTAGAGACACATAGCTAACACTCATTAAATTTTTTTCTTTTTGATTTTTGCTTTTTGAGATAAGGTCTCTTGTAGCCCAAGGGTGGCCTTAAACTCCCGATTCTATTCTTGCTTCCACCACGCAGTTGCTGGGATAACAGGTGTATATTATCACACCTGACTGATTTTAACTGTTTTTTAATTATATTCTTGACATCTAAGAAGTTATTAACATTAACCAGTTTCCATAGTTGAATTTGATGTGTTTTTATCAGCAATATAATATAATATTTTATCAGCAATTATAATATTTTATGTTTTAAAATGTAGATTTTTGGAAGAGAGTCAAGACCAGTATAGCACTTAGTGTTTTCTTCTTCCTTGCTTTCTTTTTTTTTTCTTTGTTTGTTTGTTTTTTTGGGTTTTTTTTTTGTTTGTTTGTTTGTTTTCTTTTTGGTTGTTGGGAGGGGCAGTTAGTGACAGGGTTTCTTTGTGTAGCCTTTGTTGTCCTGGAACTAGCTCTGTTGACCAGGCTGGCCTCAAACTCACAGAGACCCACCTGCCTCTACCTCCTGAGTGCTGGGATTAAAGGCGTGCGCCACCACTGCCCGACTGCACTCAGTGTATTTTGACTCATGGAACTGCCCAGTGACCACACCCCTTTCTCAAGCTTGGCAGACGCAGGTGCTGGTTTAGAGACCTGGTGGTGACTGAAGTCATTTGAATCTTTTTCCTGGCTGAGTTTACTCCCTGAAGATGAGTGTCAAGATAGAATATAAACAGTTGATGCTACATAGCATAGGCTCCCAGAAAAAGATCACCTTTTTAATATGAGAAATATAGAAGGATTGAACTCAGAGGTTCATTTCAGGTTGCCCTACTAACGGCACTATGAACCTTAAATCAGTATATTTGGAATGATGGATAATCAAAATTTCAATAATCAAACAATATTTACTTGGGGGTGTCTGAGTGTCATTCATACATGACCTCTTGATGCTACTCTGAGTATTTCCTAAACACCAAATATTTAACACCAAATAAAATTCAGTTTTTCTCCAAAACTTAATTTACTTTGCTTAGACTCATAGCGCCTTTGTTACTAGAAGACTTCTATTCCAACATCTATAAAATCACATAATAAATTATTGGAAAGAGTGTTATTTATTTGGCCTGGACCTGTCCTGCTCTGTATAAACACCATGCTGCCTGCTTGGTTTCCCGGGCAGAGGCAGTTTTACCTGATAAGGCAATTGGATAAGTAAGTTACTCTGTCTTTATGGGGACTGCTTGGCACCATCTTATCTTTTAAAAGTCCAGTGCCTGCATTAAACCTGCCCTTTGGAGCCACTGGTAGATGCCATGCTTGACATAGGCAAGGCCTGGAGTGGAGTTCAATCCCAGAATAAAAAAAAAAAAAAATTAGTTAGAACAAACTTACCCATTCTTTAAGGAGTTCATATACTGTTTGTTTTCTCTTTTGATTTTTTGTTTTGTTTTGTGAGGCAGAGTCTCACTGTGTAGACCAGGCTGTCCTACAACTCACTGTGTAGACCAGGCTGGCTTACAAGCTCCCCAAGATCCACCTGCCTCTGCCTTCTCTGCCTTCCACGTGCTGACATTAAAGGTGTGAGCCACCATGCCCAGCTTGTGGTTTTTGTTTGGTTGGTTGCTTTTATTTTATTTTATTCTATTTTATTTTTTGAGACCAAGTTTTACTCTAGCCAGCCTGAAACTCACTATGTAGCCCAGGCTAGCCTCGAATTTGTGGACATTCCTCAGCCTTCGAAGTGCTGAGATTATAGATGTGTGCCACCACCCCACCATGTTTCACGGGCTTTTCAAATTGGCAGAATTACTCACTTGTAGAATCAGAATGCCCCAAACAAAGGTGCCACCGTGACTCCGATCTAATGCTGGCCATCCTATTCACTGTCCTTCTCATTCCTGGCCCATACTTGGGCATATTACAGCAGTTGACATGCTTCGTGCACTTGATGCTGTCTGTCCTGCCTCTCGTGCTTTGGTTCTGTCCTCCACAGTCATGTGTCATACATAGTACAACCTTGTCTTTGAACTTTGTATACTGAGCCAAAGCACCTTTTTTTGTTGTTGTTATTGTTGTTTCTTTGATGGTGGAGCTGGTCTTGTTTACTTCTCTGCTTTTGAATCTGCCGATTTTTTTTAAGAGATGTAAATTTATTCATAGACCACAGTGCCTTGACTTAACCCCACTACCGATTGGGGCGCCAGCATGCAATGCACACGCCTGTTTAGGGTACTGTCTATCCAAAACCCACAGCCTACTCGTATCTTATCTGACTGTCCAGTCATTCGGTGTGATCACTAATACCGAACCGATCCCCGTACTTAACTGTTGTTTAAGCATGAGGATTGCCACAGTTCTCTGTAGAATTGCTGTGTCTCTCTTTTCTTTTTCCTTTGTGGTATTAAAAGGAGCCATAAGTAGCACAGCTGGAGAGACAGACAGCTCGGTGTTTCAAGAATGCATACTGCTCTTACAGAAGACCCAGGTTCAGTTCTTAGCCCTCTACCTGCTAGGTAGTTCACAACGGCCTGCAGCTCCAGCTCCAGGGGATACCCTTTATGATGTCCAGGTGCAGCTGCACGCATGTGTGAACACACCAGCACATGGATATGCATGCATAGCCATAATTTATAAATAAGGAAACGTCTATGGAAAACAAAAACGAACCAGAAACCATCTGATTGCTAAATGCACAATTGTATGAGCCCACCCTGCTCCGCCCATCGGATGCCATCCACACACACACATCGCTGTGTGTGTGTTTTCTTTGGCTAAAATAATGAGATCCGACCATCACTGCTGGCAAGATCACTGCATGGATGAAGCAGAACTAACTACTCGCGTGTTTTCAGGGATCTTATTCCGTGTGTCACCACCAAAGACTTCCACAGTGTTATAAAGCATGTAAATACTCGAAAATTATGTCAAACATTGGTTAAATGCTTCTACTACTTCCTTTTCTGTACTTTTGGGGAGATGCCTGGACCTTTATGGTATTACTATAATGTCTTACATTGACTATAAATGGTTTTTTTTCTGAATTGGAATAGGCTAATTTTTGATTTAGTGTTTTCATTGGGAAAACTAAGGATATCTTAATAGATCTAAATATAGAACTCTGAATACAGATTCCAGAGCTGTTTCCTCTGTCCTTTCCTTTTTAGGTTGATTTATTTGTTAAACAGTCGGGTAAATTTTGAGAAGATTGCTGCTTTGTGGTTTGTAGTATTTCTACAGAAACATACTCTAAGGTTAAGGTTTTCTGAAAAGAAAGTCTCTTTTTCTCTAAGTGCTTTTGTAATCTTTTAGGGGTGTTCTGCAGATTGACCCTTTTTGAATATTGTATATCAACCCTTTTTAGCATTGACCCTGACTTAACAATTTTTTTCTTGTAATATTTTTTAACTCTGTGTACTTTAATACTTTAAGCAAAAATAACTCTGTAAGATCTCTGTTAAAGCTGTCCTCAAGCCCTGTACGTGGGTGACTCTGCAAGTATATTTGGGGAATTTTTACAATAAAATAAACTCATTATATTAGGGGCAGTTGGGTATTTCTTTATGTGTCGGCATCCCTGTGTTGAACTCCGTGAATGTTTTTTATTACTCAGCATGTCTTGATTTAATACCAGACAACATACATGTCCCTAGGACTGCAGTCAACAGAGCAAGTCACAACTCTTGTTACTTTCTGTAAAGCTCGTCACAGGCCGAGGATAGCGTCCCGGATTGTAGAGTTTGGATGCTAGACAGAGAAGCAGGGAAAATGGCACAGGAATTCTGTCACCATAGACTGACTGCTGTCTCCAGCAGAGTCTAACAGAGAATTCGGATTTCTGTATCGAGGAAGTGTTCTGGAGCTCCGTCTGTTTGAGAGTCTGTCTGCTTCACATTTAAAGATGAACCCTCCTGAAAAGCTCCCTTGCATTGCTTCCTTACGAGATGCAGTGTGTGTTAAAGCATTGGAAATAGAGTTACAGTTTTCAGCCCGATGATGAGGCTTATGCTTGCCGTGACCAAACAGGGCTATAAATGTAGCTAGAAATTGAAAAGAACACAGTGAACCTGTGAAGGACTTCAATGCTGCTTGTTTTTTCCTCGGGGTTTTATTTTACCCTTGTAGTAGTTAACTGATCTTACAGAGATGTGTGGAACAAAAGCCACGCCAGAGAGTGGAAAACACTGCTCTTTTACCTGCTTATGTGTATCTGAGAGTCTGGAAGCCTCCTCTGAATGCCCCGGAGCAGGTAATCTTTTTAAATTTCTATTGAAAGTGGAACAGGCCTTTAATCTCATTACATCATGGGAAGCAGAAGCAGGGTGATTCCTGAGTTCAACACCAGCCAGGGCTACATAGATAAACTCTGTCCAAATAAATAAATTGCATTTTGAAAGACAATTCTTCAAGTTGTCATTTTAAAGCTCGAGACTGATACTTTTGCCTGTCTGCAGGTTACTAAAGAACTGTGCTGGACAACAGGAGCTGCAGGAAGCAGGCATGCAGCGTGCTGTGCATACGTCCATGCAGGCTAAACAATCAAACACATGAAGTAAATTTTCTAAAAAAGAATAGAAAAGTTGCCAGGTCTTTGCTTACCCAGGGGTGTCATGTTAAGAAAGGGAAGAAGGCCAGGCATAGTGGTAGACACCTTTAATCCCAGCACTGGGGAAGCAGAAGTGGGTTGATCTTTGTGAACTAGAGGCCAGCCAGGACTGCATGGTAAGACCCTCAAAATAAAGTAGGGTATTTGTTGTCATATGCTAATGAGGTTACCATCCCCTTTTTATAGATCCAGTAACATGCATCAATTGCCCAGTTTGTACCATAGTATGGTTATCTTTCAACACAACCTAGCTAAGAAGACAGAATAACAATTTAAGGGAGTTCTTGTTTTGAAAGAATAAATCACTGTTATCAAAATGCCTGTATTATTCTGGGGTTTCTTGTAGGTAGATCCTTTAATAAAATTTTTGTTTCCCCTATGATAAGTTTTCTCCTTGTAATAGTCCTAGCTGCCCTGGAACTTGATTTGTAAACCAGGCTGACCTCAAACCCACAAAGATCTGCCCTCTCTGCTTCCCAAGTGCTGGGATTAAAGGCAAGTGCTACCATGTCTGGTGTGACCAAAAAAAATTTTAAAAATATGTGGGTTTTTTTTTTCTTGCCTTTACCTCTTAACATCCAACACAGTGGTGAATCCTTTAGCTTTTCAAAACATGTGACCATCTCGCTCAGTTCTCTCTCTGTGTGTGTGTGTGTGTGTGTGTGTGTGTGTGTGAGAGAGAGAGAGAGAGAGAGAGAGAGAGAGAGAGAGAGAGANAGAGAGAGAGAGAGAGAGAGAGAGAGAGAGAGAGAGAGAGAGAGAGAGAGTCTGTCCTCCCTACCATGTGGATGCTGTGAACAGAACTCAAGTCCTTAGGCTCAGGGAAAGCCCTATTTACTGACTGGCCCAAGAGCAGAGGAACCATCTCACTGTTTCCAGTGACTTTGGAGGTTTCCACTATCCTGTCACTCAGTGGTCGAGTCCTAAGTCTGTGAGTTTCATTTGTTTTCAACTGATTCCTTTGGGGATTGTTAACAGAGAAGGCTATGGGAAGAGGGGGTGACGATCAGAGATAGATCTTGGGCACACGGGTGGGAGTTTTTTTTTTTTTTTTTCCAGTTGCCAAGGTTTAGAGAAAATAAGCGAGGAGAGAATATGGCTGGATTCTTTTCTCCCGTGGTGTACCGTCACAGACTACTTCAGAGAGGTTGGAGTAATCATCAGTTCCACACCTCATTTAAGTTACTCAGAATTTGAGTGATATAAAAAGTCATGGTTCCACCAGGAATCAAGAGTAGTCAGAGTTCACTGGGAAAACACTACCATTAGAAAAAGGAAGAGATCGATCCATCGATTGTTTTAAATAATTGACTTAAGCGATTCTGAAGATGGGCAAGATTAAACTTTGCAAAGCAGCCCCGTAGGCTGGCAATGGAAGAGTTAACTTTTTGGACATGTGCAGGTGCATGTTGCTAACCACATTCCCTTTTCATCTGACTTGGATTAGGCCTCACCCACATTATGGAGTGTAATCTGAGAGTCTGCAGATTAATGACGTCATGCTAAGAATAAGGATGGAAGTCAGGAGTAGTGTGGTACATGACTTTAATCTCAGTACCCAAGATGCACTGTCAGATAGATCTCTAGATGTTCTGGGCCAGCCTGGTCTACATAGCAAGTTCAGGACCAGCCAGGGATACATAGTGAGACTCTGCCTATAAATAGATAGGTAGATAGACAGACAGATAGATGGGTGGGTGGATGGATACATAGAAAATAGATCGATATAAGAATGGAAGCAATAGGGAAGGATGGACAGAGAAAAGACATTTTAGTAGGCTTAAATAGGTACAGTGGTCTAGCCTTACTTGACATATTTAAGTAGCCATCATAATATAATTAAATTTAAAAAGGAATTACACCTCAAAGCCATTTCCTTGCTTCTGGTTGTAGATGTCTCAGCTCTGGTTAGCCTACAAAGAAGGGGATGCTGTAACCTATGCTGAAAAACAACAGCTACTTGCTAGCTTCTGATGCCCCTTTGTTTCTGGCTGTCAATCAGGGTACCACCCTGCTTCGCAAACCCATCAACCAATCCCGTGAATAACCTCCAGGCCCTATAGTTGGGATTTTGGACTTCATTACACTTACTTTGGGAATCACACGATACTGAAAATAGTTAACCTAGACATGGTTTTATAAAACAGAAGTTTCAGATATTTATCGGAAGATTAAGTAGAGTCAGCTGTTAGGTTCAATCATTGATTTAGCTCTTAGCTTTAGGGAGGAGAGAGAAGATGCTTTTAAACTAAATAGGGAAAATAATTCACCATCAATTATTGGCTAAGACCAAACAGGAAGCGTCTGAAGAGAGGATGCGGCTACTTGAGAGGGGCATCCTCTCAGGAAGTGCTTTCCTTCCTCCAGGCCCTCCCGCCAGCGTTTGTTCCTGGCCTCCCTCCCTTCAAACCACACCTTGTAAACCCTTTTGTGGGCCCTGTTCCCAACACCAAGAATTCCTGGTGTTCCTCCATACCCGGTTTCAACTAATAAAACACACACACACAAACGGTCCAAAGCCATTTCACACAGGGGGTTAACTTTATTCGGTCTTTAAATTGAAACTGCGGTTGGGACGCACAGCAGGCGACAGTTTCCGTATGCTGTGCTCTAGGAAAGTAGAGCTGTGTTATTTATACTTTTTACAACATACTGTATAAAACTCAAGCTAGCAAAGAGGCCCACGGGAAGGGAAATTAGACAAAGCCGAGAAGACAAAAGAATCCCATTTTGCAATATTCTGAGAAAACGCCTGTAAACCCGCACAAAAGTTTAATATTTACCATTAAGCCACGTGCAGAGGTATTGTGTTTACTTTAGAATAACTTTAAGTCAAGAAGGAGTGAGAAGGGGGAAATGTAACGGGGGAAATGCGCTTTAGAAAAGCAAAGCTGGTAAGAGTTGATCTTCCGCAAGTGCGGAGTAAGGTCACGTGACAGCAGGTTGCTCTTTGACCCAACTGTCTCCAAGCGCGTCTGACAGCAGAGGAATAATTGCTTCCTCATTTAGATTAGACGACGTGCTCTCTGCAACCGCATCCTCTAAATAGATTGGAGAGAGTAATTGAAGCAAGTTATACTGGGAAGCGGAGTGACCGATTCCTCCTGGTGTGAGCCGGGAGAGCCTCGGTAACCCCATCAGTCCGGCCTTCATCCTGTTCCTATTTAGGGAACCCGCAGGGCTGCGGTGCTGAGTCCCTGCAGCTAGCTGCCTTTATTGTTTAGACTTGGGGGGGGAAGGTCACATGCCCTCTTTGACAGAGAGGTTTATGGACTCTCTAATTAGCTGCACCCTCTACCCGACAGACAGTTGGCCACCTTCCAAGAACCGGGGTTTGGTAGCCACTGCTGAAGGAGAAAACAAGGTTATTTACCCCTGTGACTGTAGTTCTTGGCACAAACTCACCCTTTACACTCAGACACGTTTGCCTTTGTTCCAACTTGCGTTTGGAATTCTGAGTAGGGCGTTGAGGAGAAATGCGGCTATATATTTAGTGCTACACAACACATATGTTGGCCTCAGACCCTTTTCACTATTCCAAGGCCTCATACAAAAAGAAGGGTAACAGAACCCTGCTTGCACATGCCCACCCGCAAGCCCAGAAAAGGAAGTTAAATTCGCAACATCTATAAAATAACAGTTGTACGTTGGGGCAGTTGAAAATCCCAACGGTAAAACGTGATTGGGTTTAGCTATTACTGGAGTGCCCGGAATATATTTGGCTTATCCTATTCTGTCGGGTCTGCGGGATGGTGGATTAAGCCGATAGAAATACTTTGGGGCTGATTCAAACCAGATGCTCTGGGGGCGCAGCACAGCGTTAGGCAAGGCTGCCCCTCGGCAGTCTGCCAGCGCAGCCAAACCAGCCTGTCCTCCACCAGATACCTCGGCCATAAAAAGCTTTCAAGTCCCCATTGTTATTCCAGGCACATT